AACTACAGGAGAGAGGGAGGGTCACAGTCAAGTCTGTAACTACAGATGGAAGGGTTTTGTTGCAATGAGTGAAAATCAAGGAGACAGGAAAGAATTTTTCAAATGAGAGAGAAAACCTAGGTCAAAAATACACTCAACATTATACAGTTATATTATGGGCACACGTATCCTTTAACTTTTAAGACACACCGCAAGGCCAAACACATTAAATCATCCTGGCCAGTGGACACAGCACAGAATGCTGGCCTCAGTTAGCCATGACCTAGAGGGTAAACTTGATGTTTGGAAGTTTTCATTAGAATATTTTTGTTAAAAATGGTGTTGGGGCGGGGGGAGCAGGAGGAGACGATCAGAGTAGTGTTTGCTGTGTAAACATGAAGGCAGGAGTTCTAGACTCCAGAACCCGTGGAAAAGCTGGGCAACTGTGTGGCCATCTGCAATCCCAGCACTTGGGAGACAGAGACAGGATTCTGAGGCAGGATAGCTAACTGGGCTAACCTTATGCTCTAGCTCCATGCACAACAGGAGACACTTCTTCAATACATAAATGGAGGGAGACACTGGGTGTCAACTTTGGGTACCCCACACACGTGCATGCACATCCACCCATATGTGATGATGCATACACATATGTCCACAGACCACACATACACATGCTAAAAGTGGTTGTGAAATACTTGAGATTTGCTCTTCGCACTGGAAGGTTGCGATAATTTAGTAAAAAGCAAACCCAACATCTTCATGGTAGGTTTTCTTACAATTTCTCAAAGCCCCTTTTCTTTACCTGGACATGCTTGTTCTGACAGATATGAAGATGACGGCCACATGTTTACTCCTCCCAGACGTTTTTGGGGATGATCCCAGCCTTTTTGTCGTTGTGAATGAGAAGGTATGCAGTATGTTAATGGTCATTTACTTTACACCTTCACATAACTTATAAGGTCAGTGATCTATTCAAGTTGTTTTTTTTTTAATCATATTCACATTTAGGCTATATAGTAACTAGCTCATTTACAGTAGTGTTGTGTGAATTTCAGGCATGCTTTATCATTTTGCTGATTTACATATCAGTGGGTAGTGACGCCATTCCTGTTTCTTAGGTGCATGCATCCACTCCCGTGCTGGAAGTTAAAAACCCTTTCCACATCAATGGCTGTGAGTTCTCTCTGTATCTGGACAAAGAGAAGCTTGCCAAGGTGGATGACTGTGTCACAGCCCTGGCTGCTTTGGTGGCTGCTTTTCATGTGTTTGGGATTGAGTGTCCAAGAAGACTGTCCCAAACCTTTAACTTCCTGGAGACCTTGATCTTTGATGCACAGAGTCCCTGTTTTCCATCTTTGAAAGAAAAGGAAATCAGATCTCAGCTTCCCATCACTTAAGATTATCCGAATTAACCTCCAGGGCAAATGGAATTCCATAAACAATTGCAGAATGATTTAGGGTTGCCTTAGAGGTAGGAATTGGAAAAATTATGTCATCTCAAGTGTCAATGAATTTTTGATGTGTCTGTCCTTAACTTAGATACTTAAGCTCTCTGTTAAGTTTGTAATAAAATACTACTTAAAAGTTCTGCATTTGATCTGAGTTCATAGGAATTCTATGGCCAAGATTACACATTCAGAAGTGTCAGTTTTTAAGACATTATGAGGTACCATCCTCCCAGTTAGTCTCAAACCTGAATGTAACTCAGTGTGATGGCTTGAAAGACCAGAAATTGGACAACAACCTCTTAAGTCCTTTTGGTTAGAACATTACCGCGCCAGCACGGTCTGGAACCACGAGTCTCAGCGGAGGGTGTCCAGGTTGAATGAAATCCACAGAGCATGAGGTTGAGGTGAAACAGCAGCTCCTTTATTGTTCTGCTGGGGCTAGCTTTTATACCATGGCATCAAATGGGGAGGGGTCTGCGAAGGGACTGTCACCTGACCCAAGGAGGAACTCTCACCTGACCCCAGTAGGGGTCAAGGACTGATCACTTGCACTCCACCTTCACCTGTCCCCAGTAGGGACTGTCACCTGACCCCAGCAGGGATCAAGGAATAATCACGTGCACTCAAACTTCCTCATCCAACTCCAGGAGCAGAGGGAAGTTATGATTCTTTGCAGATAAGCATCTCGAATGGCGGCAGGGAAATATAACTCGAGGTAGCAATTCCCACAGAACATTGATTGGAAATATCTTGAACTTTAATATTTTAAAAATAAATACATAATCCTCAGTTTCCTTACCCCAGATGGCCTGCCTGGTCTGATATGTTTTGGTTTTCCTTCTATCAATATCGAGCATGAGGACAGCTGCCGTCTTGAGGTAACCTCCTTGGTAGACAGTCTTTGTGGCTCAGGGTCAGCACATGTGTCCATTTTCCATGGTTCCTTTCCTACAGGCTCAGCCTGTGGTCTATGGTCTCATTAGAAATGTATTTGTTCACTCATAATAATGGTGAGACAGTACTTCTGAGATCTAACAAGACTCAGTATTCGGTTTTCTGAAGAATCCCACAAGGAAAAACCATAAAGCAATAGCTTAAGGCATGCCTTGATGGTATCATCAAAATATCATGTTATTTCCTAATTCACATCCTAGATATTACAGAGATTTCAATGTGTTAATACTTACAACACAATTGGTTAAGCATTTTTCTGGATTATTTGAAGTTTTAAAAAATGCTGAAAAATTTTATTTTTTTTCCTTTTCACTAAGATAAAATAACTGCCTTACAAACTTTTATTACTCAAATTATCCCCTCGAATCCATCGTTTAAAAATTCCACAATCTGCCTTCAATCTGGGTTTACTAAATTTTGAAGTGTGTCTTTCCTTATAGGGTCACAGTTGGAAGCTGAGTGTCGCTGTCACTCAGAGTGACAGGCTGAGGCTATGGATGATAGTTGGGCTATGGATAGTTGGGCTATGGAGAGTTGGGCTATGGAGAGTTGTGCTATGGATAGTTGCGCCTGTAGACAGGTCTCATTTGTCCCTGTGCAGTACTGTGATCTTTCGGGACCGCATGGACAGTCCCTGTGTATCCCACAGAGGCATCCTTTTCTTTTTCTCATCCTGAGCCATCTACTCAGGCATCCCCTACCGTCAGCCCTTCCTATTTCCTCCTTTAACACTCAGAGCATATTGCAGCCATGGGACAGCAAAAGATCACATGCTTGAGATACACTGAGTCCTGCGCCACTCAGGGATGTTCAATGCTTTGCTTTTCCTACAACAGAACAGCACACTGCTTAGGAGCAGTCTTTTTTGTTTTGTTTCTGTTTTCCCAGACAGGGTTTTTCTGTGTAGCCCTGAGTTAAATCTTTAAGAAACCTCTTTCATTATAGCATACACTTTAAATTAGAAAGAAAAAATATTCTCAATGTGGCAGAAAACTACTTGGGCTAAAAATGTGATTGATGATTTTTTTTTTTAAAATACTTATCCTTCCCTAAGTACACTGACAAAAATACTCAGTCTAACAGTCATTAGATTGCTTTGTTGCCCCCCTGCCATACACACCTTTCCTTTGTGGTGTGTGTGCTGGTTCATGTGTGTCTATGTGTGGTCAGTGGTCCATTTCCTATTATAATCCTGTGTCTTCCTGTATTATTACTCTCCTCGCTGCACTTCCTCTTTAGGAAGTATGAGTGTTTGCCTGCATGTAACTCTGTATACCATGTATGTGCCCAATGCCTATGGAGGACAGAAGAGGGGACCAGAACCCTGGAACTACAGCTACAGATGGCTGAGAATCAAGTATTCTTAACCATTGGCCTATTTCTCTAGTCTCACAATTGCAGGCGTAAGTCACAAACAATCCCACACCAGTTTGGAATTATGATTAATAGAATGGCTATTTATTTAAAGGGGCTGTCCCAGACAACAGCCCTCTGCCCGATCAGGAAAGGAGTCGGAAGCATAGCAGGAAGTCGGAGAGAGAACAGAGGACAGCAGCTGCTTTTTTAAAGAGAGACCACGCCCCAATGGGCAGGTATCTCAGTGGCTATTGGCTGAAGGAGCAGAAGGAGCTCCCGCAGCACACAACCTACGCTTTTTTTTTTTTGAGGCATGGCCTCTAACTAAACTTGGAGCTCATAAATTCAGGTAGACTCCCTGGCCAATTGGCTTCAGGTATTCCTTTGTCTGTGGCCCCACAGCACCAGCGGCCAAAGATGTGCCTGGTTTCTACATGGGTGCCGGGGACTCACAGTATCCTGAAGGCACTTCAGCAACGGAGGCAGCTCCCCAGGCCGATGGTATCTCTAATGTTGTTGCTGTTGTTTATGTATTGTTTTGTTGTAGAGCTGATCCAGCCCAGGGTCTCACAAATAAATGCCAGGTAGGCGCTCTGATATACACTCATGCCTTAGACCTTTTCTTCGAAAGGATGTTATTCCTGCCTTTCCCTACCTCTCCAACGTAACAACCTCCTTAAAAATCATACATATAATAAAGAAGAATCTGTAATTAAGTTTTTATTTCATTCATATCACATGTAACAAGTGCAAGTTAATGTACAAATACTGAACACAACAAAAAAGGAAAAATAACAAAAAGCTTCTTTAGCAGAGTCATGCAAAGAAATGAATTGGACACGGCAGATGTCACGGACCCTGTTTTACCTTGAATCATGACAAACGCAAAGGGCTGATAATAAACCCCCACTATGGCACATCAAAGGAAGTCCTGCGTCAGAAAAGCATTAGAGAGTTCATGGAAAGAGGTGGGACTTTCCCCCAGAGTTCCGACAGCATGCCACTAAACTTTCTATTTTTAAAGCGGTCCTTGAACAAATGTCTAATCCTGGCATTAGAAAGTCCATCAAAAGCCTGACAAAATAATTTACCTTTCCCCTAGAAGTGCATGCTTACAAAAGAAACACCGCCAGCTATGGATTTATAAATAACCAGGGGCTTTCATTTAAAGTGCATCCAGATGCTTAAAAAAAAAAATCAAGGCAAAATATTTAATAGGAAAAGGAATCTCTCCACATTGGCAGCTCCCGAAAAGTGGCTCAGGGATCCCCTTCTTCGACTTGTGAGCATGGAGAATTTTTGGGTCTGCTGGTGTGACTCTGTCACACAGGTCTGTGCGGTACCATTCATGCACTGCCTCTCAGCTCACTCGGAGGAAATCCCGTGGGTCTGGAGGACCTGGGAGACGGATGGGATCACTTGAACGATTAGTGTTTCTGTCAACAGAACGAGTCCTTTCCTGTAAAGCACCAGTTACTTCCATGTCGTTTACAGAGATGCACAGGGTAATCTCGGAGATCAAGCCCCCATCAACCCTGGAGTGTAACCAACCACACACAGTTCTCCAGGGCTGACTGCTGCAAACACGTGGGCACCATGATGTACAAAACTGATCCGCTCAGATATACTACTTCATTCAAATCTAAGTAGGTTTATATATTTTATTTTTCAATTCCGTTCTTTTATATACATTTTTTTTTGGTAACAACAGTAAAGATGCTGGTGAAAAGTAATTTGTTTAACAATTCATAATACGTGCAAAAGTAAAAACATGGATTCAAAGAAAGGCAGTATTTACAAGTTCTTCAGTCCCAACGAAGGATGACACACAGTTAGGCAATATCGTGACTCGCAAAATTACACTTGGCTAATGCTGCAATTCCAAATATGGCACAGGGCGAACACGACTGACAGTAGTCCCAGGCTAAACTCAGCCAGGTTTCAACGGATTTGGTTTAGGTTGAAATTCAGTTATATAAAAAGGTTTCTGAAAGTATTGAAAAAAAGAACGTGTACATGAAAGAGAATCCAACAATGTTTACAAAATGCTGAAAGTTCTTATTTTGCCCCCCCATCCATAAATAATGAAGCCCCCGTTTCCCCACCCTCCTCCCACCTCCAAAAGATTTACAAAGGTAAGTTTAGCTCGGTGAGCAGAACTGAAAGATGACTGGTGCTGGCCAGCGGCTGGTGAGAAGCCCAGGCAATCGGTTCCTAGGAACGCATGCGCAGTCTGGAGGGACCAGTGGAATCCTGTGCGCTGCCCTTGTGAGTCCTGAAAACTTCTCCCTCAGGAGCTAGAACCGCCCTTGTGCTTTGAATAAACATGATGAGCTTGAAAGCGGAAGCTGAGGGTACCAGAATCCACCGCCTTCACAGTTCGTTGTGGGAATTCTTCTCCGCAGCTTTAAACATCAGAATAGAATTGAAAATTTTGAGAGCTGGACCCAGCTTAATGCTCATAATTTTAACAATGTCTGTTTGGGTCATGAGTAAAAATGCTTCTCCATCAATTTGCTGAAATAAAAGAAAAAACAAACAAAGGAATATGGATTAACCAGATGCATGGTTGTGGGACATTCCCAGCTATATGTTGTATTATATACAGGTGACTTTACAGCAATACTCAGAAGGCATACACTAGGGCTCATGAACACAACATTCCTGATTGATGGGTCTTTCTTACCTAAAATCATACATCCAACAAGGTAAAACTCAGTTGTCTGAAACCTCAGTCCACAGAAAAATAGAAGGTGGTCGGTCACACTCGCTTATAACTTGAAGTGTGTGTGTGTGTGTGTGTGTGTGTGTGTGTGAATGTGTGAGTAGAAAGCCCCAGTTCAATTTTGCATGCCTAACCCTATAGCTCTCTGCCTTACTCTTGGAGACAGGGTCTCTTACTGAACCTGGACCTTGTCATTCCAGCTCAACTGTGTAGCCAGCGAGTCCCAGGAATCCAGCTGTCTCTCAGTGCTGGAGTTACAGATATGTGCTGCCGTGCCTGGTTTTCTATTTGAGTGGTGGGGATCAAAGGCCTTTATGTTCATGCTGCGAGCCCTTTACCCACTGAGCCATCTCTCCATCCCCAAATCTTGTGTTCCTCTGAATTAGGTATTTAGTCAAGAAGAATATGTTGGTTTTTTAGTTACAAAAGATAATAATGCTTTTGGACAAAAAAAGAACTCAGGCAAAGAACCAGTTATATATAAACACCTAACAGATTCAGCCTTCTACCGTGAAGGAAAATACAGTATTTTTGTCTGGCGTGGCCATACTCTGCTTCCATAAGCAGAAGAGACAGCAAACAGTAGGGTGGAAGAATGTGAGGCCAGTGTTAAGCATCACAGACTGTAGGTTGTTTCTTTCACGACTGGTGTGATTGTGCACAACCTTTTCTTTCTAGGCCCCGTCTAAGACGAAAAGCTGAATTGCAGAATAGGACACTTTGAAATTCAAAGCTACAAGATGATGAAAATGCTTATTTGGTTTAGTAGGGTAACAAATGTGACAGATTTTACACACACACACACGTGTGTGTGCATGCATGTACAAGTTTCAACCTTTAAGGAATGGATGGCCTTAAGACACATCAATTAATTTCTTCAATTTCCCCATTTTGAACAACAACAAGAACATTTTTTCTGTCTCAGAGTAATTGGAAACTTTGACGCAGTGAATGGCTTGATGGGGTTAAACTGTATCTTCCGAAAATTCTTTTTCCTTTGTGTTGTTTTTGTTTTTTTTTTACATCCCTGTTTCTCAACATCCCTGGATGTCTTGGAATTCATTGTGTAGACTAGGCTGGCTTTGACCTCACTGAGATCTACCTACCCCTGCCTCTGGAATGCTGTGGTGAAAGGGGTGTGCCACAATGCCCAGCTGCAAATTCTTTAAGCCTTCCTTCTTTCCTTTTTTTCCTTCCTCCTTCCCTCCCTTCCTTTCTTTCTTTTATGTGTATTGTTGCTTTGCCTGTATGTATAACTGTGCACCACACATGTGCATTGCCCGTGGAGGATAGAAGGAGGTAATGAATCCCCTGGTACTGGGGACAGTTGTGAGCCTCCATGTGGGAGCTGGGAATCAAACTTGTGTCCTCTAGAAGAGCAGTGCCGCTAACCACTGAACCATCCTCCCAGGCCCTCTTTTGCAAATTCTGCATTGCATTCTTAAGCCCTACCTAGTTGCTCAGAATGAAACTTATTAATGGAAATAATGTCATTGTGATGGTAAGCAGCAACTGGTTAAGAACGTCCACACAGGCCAGGTGAGGTCTTGGTCCAGGAGAGCTAGCATCCACAAAATAAAAGCTTTTTCTTTTTCTTCTTCTTTTTTTTTTTTAAAGGTAAATTTGTACACAGAGACAGACACATAAGAAAGCAGAAAGTGAACTATCTATAAGCTACAGGACAGGCTAGAATAGACGTTAGAAGGCCGATTTCTAGTCTTGCCTCCAGAACTGTGAGACAGTATATTTCTGCTGTTTAAACTACTGATCCATGCTTTGTCATGGTACACTAAGCAAGCTACTATAAGCCTGAATTCCTTGGAATTAACTACTTGCAGGCTTATAGAAGTAAGTAGCTGATTTTATTTTTAACACCTTCCTCATTCTACAAAATATAGAATGTAGAATGTTGAAATGGCCCACCGGATAAAGCCTGACAACATGGGTTTCATTCCTGGGACCCACATGAGAAAGAGAACCGATTGCCCTGTGTTCATAGATTTCTACACATGTTCTGACATCAAGAAAACAAATGACAACAAATATTGGAGATGATGTAGGGGAAAGAAGAACCCTTATCCACCGTTGGATAGAGAGCAAACTGGTGCAGCCCCATGGGAAATCAGTGTAGAAGTTTCTCACAGAACAAAATATAATCACCATAAGACCCAGTTATGAGACTCCTTGGTAGCTAAAGGACTCTACATCCCCACAAAACATGTTTATTGCTGCTCTACTCACAACAGCAAGGGAATGAAATCAGTCCATACGTTCATCAGTAGTGTAATGGGAAATAAAAATGTTGGACATATACACAATGGAATCTTATTCAGCCAACAGAGATAAATAAAAATATGAAATTTGCAGGAAAATTAGTTGGGTCTGGACATGATTATATTGATTCAATTAACCAGACTGGATACTGTATGCTGTCTCAAATACAATCTAGCTTCTAATTGGAAGTACTAAGGAAGCAGGATGGGAAGGGTGGTGGACTACATGTGATGTGAAGCTGAACGAGGAATACTGGGGGCAGAATGGGATAAGAGGGCGTGAACAGGCAGATGGGGGAGAACCCTGTGTGGGAAGGCATTAGTCAGAAACAGTGTTTATGAAAATGCCGTAAGGAAACCTGTTACTTTTACACTAATTTGAAATAAATAAATACTTTTAAAAGATATAATCTCAAGGTAGATGGTGATAAATCCCTGTTCTCACACATACTACTGAGACATGGGTAAGACTGCTCCTGGTTCTAATGGTAATCTTTATTCTGAGTATCAAATGGAGTCAGGACTGACGCTGTTATACGGTTATTGGGAAGTAAAATAATAAGGGGAAATCCCCATACTAAAGCACTGCTAATTGCTTCCTTTGATTTATTTCTGTGCTATGGACTATATAAGAACAAGCTATTGAGTTTTGTGGGGAGTGTTAGAATGAGCCTTGTTCTACTGTGCATGATCATGAAATGCTTTGTCCAAGCTTTCCTTGGGACCTCATCTTCTGTAAGACGTTTTAATTCAGGTGGTTAAAGCCACTTGTAATGCAGTTACGTCAGAAGTGTCTTCTTTGATCTCTCGTCTCTTCCTGCCTACTCACTTAACACATTTCCCCACTGCTGTATCTCCGGGCTTTGATACATTAAGAAACATATTGCAATATAGACGAACACTTACTTCATCCTTAAACACCTTTCCATGTTCTTCACATCCAGGCAAGCTCTGAATGAATTCCGACACCTGTCAAAAATAATATCAAGATTCCAAGTGTTTAATAAAAAGCAAAAAGAAATTGGAATCCAAGTGCTACAGCTTCTAAAATACATTTGAAACTTATAGTTTAGGTAGTTCCCTCCAAACAAATTTTCTCTTATTTTTCCAAAAGACTAGACTCTACTAAGTAAATGCATTTACCACTCATGAGGCCAATATCCTTGCACTGTAGATCAAATATAACGACAACATAAAATAACGAAAGCAAACATACCTCATCTGTGCTCCATTTGGAAACTCTACTGGCAGGGATTCCAGCGACAGTTGGAAGAAGCTTGCTTTGCTGTTCCCAGCGCAGGGGCAGACATGGAATTGGGGGCTTAAAGGAGAAAAAGACAGCTGACCGCCTCTGAGCCTGCTGGGCCTGTTGGGCCTGCTGGGGAGTCTGCTGCGCCTGCGCAGTCTGCTGGACCTGCTGGGGAGGCTGCTGAGGCTGCTGAGCGGGTAGAGGCAACTGTTGAGCCTGCTGCGCCTGCGGAGTCTGCTGCCCCTGTTGAACCTGCTGAGGCGGCTGGGTCTGTGGCGCCTTCGGAGGCTGCTGAGGCTGCGGTACCTGTGGGGGCTGCTGAACAGCCTGAGCCTGCTGTACTTGGGGTACCTGTTGAGCCTTCTGTACCTGCTGAGCCTGCTGGATGGTAGGGGTAGGCTCTTCCCGAACAACTGGTCAATGGAAAAAGAGAAAGAAGGAAATGTGTATCTGAAAGGCAGGAGGGCGGCCCCACGTGCCAGGCATCCCACGAGATAATAACATCAGGGAAGTGGACATCGAAAGACTTTGTACTTTCAATACCACACTCATTGAGTAATTATAGCTTGCTGATGCTTGCCATGGTAAGTAAACTGTACATTCAGTTTATACACACTGTTGACGACTATCGCGTGCTGCGATATCGATGGTGCTTGAATGCTCTAGATAACTGTGCCTCAGGACAGAACTCTGTCTTCAGAAATTCTGTCTGTTCGCCTATGCTTTAAATGATGTAATGGCAGTAGACCCCAATCTGCAGCTCCTGCAACTTATTTGCAGGCAGCTGGTTTTCCTGACTTGTTCTAGCCTCGGTTTAATTCAAGTCATTTATCATAGTGATGTTACATAGCCATCAAGGTCGAGGCCAGCCTGAATTTACAGAGCTAGTTCCAGGACATCCAGAGCCACACAAAGAAAGCCTTCAAAAACAAACAAACAAACAAACCAACAAACAAAAAGCTATTGCAATAAAAGGAAATAGTTAACCAAGTGGAGAGGAAATCCATTGAATGGTAGAAAATAACTAGATTATACAAAGAAACAAACAAAAACCAAGCTACAAGAAAAGAAGGATCCAGATAATAAGTGTTCAAATGAAATGAACAGACAATTCACAAAGGAAGAAATACAATAACCAATAAACATATGGAAAAAATGCCCAACCCAACCTCATGAACCACCAGAAAGATATAAATCAAAAATCTCAATCGACTCAATGACAGTCATTTAAGAAAAATAAATAAATCCAGGCACAGAGTGTACAAAAGGAAACCCTTAGACCTTGACGGTGGGAATCAGCCCAGCCACTCCACTACTGATCTCGTATGGAGGGTTCTTAAAGAACTCTGACCCAGATCTCCCACTGCTGGCTATTACCCAAAAGACCAAGTGGACATGTTAGAGATACTTGCACATCAATGTTTATGATAGCTAACTTATGGAACCAACCTAGGTATCCAACAACAGAGGGAAGGCTAAGGAAAATGTGGTGTATATGTATGATGGGAAATTTTCGCAGCCCTAATTGACAATTAATGTTTTGTCATTTATTGAAAAATGGATGTAACAGGACACAATCACAGACATTATGATACCTCTTTCCCATGCTTCATCAAATTCAGGTTTCAGTACTAGTCCTATTTTTACTGACTAGGTATTATAAACCAAATATAAAACCACATTTATTTTATTCCTTTAAATTATTTAAACCACATTTGTTTTTATTCCTTTATTTTAAATTATTTAAGTTGAAAATAGGGGTGGGGTTGGATGCAGCTCTGTGGTAGAGTGTTTGCTTAGAATGCACAAGAACCCAGCTTTGACCCCCCCCCACACACACTACTTAATAAAAAATGTGGGAGAAGGTGAGTAACCTAATAGCTTCATCTCAGATACTCCCAAGAGTTTAGCAAGTACTTGAAATGAAATGTACACACAAGGCTGGCTTACAGGAACGGTAAGACTTTGTCTTCACACTAGAGCAACAGGATAGAGATTGCTTTATAATTCTGCTTCTGATTGCTTGTCATATATAAGTCTTCTACAAATGTATGCTCATTCCATCCTATAATTGTTTGTGCTCTAGATACACTTCACTCCATCACTCCCATTCCATCCATTTCCTGCTGGAATCTGTATTCCTCACAGCTCGTTTCTAGTGCTCTACGTTGTTCATCAGAAAACCAACACCAACAACCACACTAATGTCCCAGTGCTTGTCACCACAAATCTGAAGTCTTTGAAGATGGTACAATAAACATATGCCACTCCGATTCTACTAGCACAGTGGTTCTCAACCTTCCTAGCACTGGGATCCACTGATACCGTTTCTCATGTTGGGGTGACCCCCAACCGTAAAACTACTTTCATTGCTACAACAGTAATTTTGCTACTGTAAATATCTGTGTTTTCCCGTGGTCTTAGGTGCCCCCTGTGAAAATATCACTGGACCCCAAAAGGTTGAGAAATGCTGTCCCACTGACTCAGGCACTCCTTCCTTTGGCAGCTTTTTCTGTTATAGCCGAGGTACCCCTTAATCATAAAACACATTCCTTCCTATTCTCATCCAAATGGGATAAGGAAAGCATCTTCACATAAGCAACTATTTGATTCCTTAAACTGCACAGGATGTGGTTCCAGGATTTGATCAAACATGCACTGCAGACTAAAAGAAATGCAAGAAGACTTCGGTAGCAATGGCTGGCACAATGGTGAGAGTGAGAAAGAGGGGGTTGCAGATTATAGCATGCTTCAGAAAGCACAGGCATTCAATTCGGAAGGTACCTCTGCCACTCCTGTCTCACCAAGTCTCCATTTCTTACTGCCCTCCTCGTACCCCATCTACCTGAATGAAAAACAACACTTTCAAGGAGTTTTCCATAGTTTAGAAATGTCTTAAAGTGAAAATGATCAAAATGATTGGAGCAAAGTCTTCGCTGACATACATTACTTGGTTTGTTAAGCATGCTTTGCTTTTAAGTCAGTGACAAAAGTGGAGCAAGACCCCCCAAGTGTCTCCTGTCACTGCGGCGTCAGCCAGGGCCATGATGGTGCTCTTTGGAACAGAAAGGAAAGAAAGAAGTTCAGCAACACAGAGATATGAGACGTGGAAGGTCGTCATCCCGGCCACTTCCACGACAGGGTCCTGACTACATACTACATGCTACATGTTGGATTCAGGTAAACAGAACCTAGACTTCTGCTCTATCATCTCAGTGGAGCCAATGTAAAATCTACTGGAAGAACTGCATGAGGTTTCCACCGTGCTTATCTTAACATACAGGGCTTGGCAGGTGGGAGACATTACTTCTGTCTTGAAAGGGATGAAAATAATCAACAGTCTTTTAGATTCAAAGTGGTAAAAATGAAAATGAGTCAATAATCCATCTAGGCTGATATTCCAGGAGTCTGTAAAAGGGGTTTTTAATGAGAAAGGAAGAAATGCAGAAGAAATGGGATGCATCTGTTAAAAATTGATGAGCAAATGGAAAGGGGGTGAGCAAAAAGTGTTTCATAAAACAAGAGGGGTCGAATCACCAAGCACAGAGATACAGTTGACTTCCAAGTTAGATTTAAATTCAGGAATGAGAACTATCTGAGAGTAATGTCAATGCCAAAAATCCAAATAATCAATCCAACTGTTCTAAAGGCAAAAAGGATGCTCCGTGTCCCCAGGATAACCTGACATGACACCAGACAGCGTTCAGCTTCTGAACATGTGTATCCTGTGAGGAAGAATTCTTGCAGAGAGAACAAAGAACTGTACCTTCCCCAGGACATAAGGATGCCAGGGAAAGAGCCAGTTTACAAAATCTCCACCATGTAGGCTTTCCCACAGTGGTGGAAATGAGTATTTCTCTTTTCAAGTAAAGGAGATAAGAAAAATGGAGCAAATTATAGTCAATTTCCCAAGATCACGCTCAGAAATACTACAGAAAAAGGTCATGATTACATAGACTGCACTGGCTTTGTTTTAGGAAGAACTTTCTCTCTCTCTCTCTCTCTCTCTCTCTCTCTCTCTCTCTCTCCAACCAGTTTGTCCCAAGACTCCAAACAAAATAGTCCTTGTGGGCCCCAAAAGCCTAAATCCTACTGATACAAGAAGGAAGTCCTGTGTGGATGCTTAGGCTCCTCAGCGAGTGTTGTCCCTACAGTGTCTCTCTCACCCCCAAAGGCAGAAGGCTAGGCTAGGCTGGGTCACCAACACACTGCGAATGAACATGGTAGAGTGGACAATGGGTCCAGAATGGATGTGCCACACCTGACCTTCAGGCTTCACCCTGAAGGGATTCTACTGAGGCCCAAATGGAGGAAGCATGTGTTCTTCACAAAATACACATGAAAGTTTCTCTTGAGAAAAAAAAATTAATAAGAAAGATCAAAATAAAATATAAGGCAACAACCACCACCGGGCTGCTGGTAAAAATTCCTATGAAATATTCTGCAGAGTAGAGACTTATGGGCAGCAGAGTCTAAAGATCCTCATAAGCCCCAGGGAACAAGGTCTCTGCCAGGTAAAAACAGGCTAGTGACATAAATCATGACCCACAGAGGATACCGTAAGAGTCACCGACTCACCCACAGTCAGTTCAGTGTGCTTAGCCACGTGGTGTAATACTGGAACCAAACTAGCTGTTAAATCCTTTCAATGACAGAGAGATATTACCAGTCAAGGAAAATGACAAATGGAGCAGAGGCAGCAATGGAAGCTATAACAGAAGGATGCCTTTTCAATTTAAAGAAGATTTGAATGTTTAAAAAGCCAAAACTAACTAAACAAAACATAAAAACAAAAAAACCCGAAAATTCTCCTTGCTTTCTAGACAAAAATTATGGAAGTCAAGAACAGGAATATAAACGGAATATAAAACTAGTAAACTAGTGCTAAGTGAAAGTCAACAATAACAACAAAAAGCTTTACACATTCAATTAATTTCATAGAATAGGCTTACTCAAAATATTGCAACACCACAAAAAAAAAAAAAACCAGATAAGAAACAAAAACCAAGTTCCAAAGTCTTCGGGAAAGCCAACCCTACATTGCTAGTCAGTCTCACCTAAGAATATAAGGTAGGAAATTTTGAAAATGAAGCTCTCTTTATCAATTCCAAAAGAGCGATTGACAGAAGCATACTCAAGTATAGGTTTTCAGACAAATAAATAAAAACAAAGAGGAAAACAAAAAGTAATAATTGACTTCCGAAGAATAAACAAATTCCATATGGATTCTAACGATCTTTCTTTACAATGAATCACTAAACAACACCCATGTAATTCAAATGAAGAACAACAGAAAAATAAAACTAGAACTAAACTAGATAAATTGTAACGGCACTAGAATACCAAATGTGAACAGGTTTGAAATTCTCAAATACGTAGATAATGGGGGTGGGGGTGGGGGGTTGATCAAAATTGATTCCTCAGATAAAAATAACAGATCACGAAGTTAACTGAAAGTATTCATCGAACCATCACTGCCTTGATAAGCTCTAAGCCTAGAAAGTTTTCTTACGGCCCTGACCACGCTTTCAATGACGCAAGAGACTATTCCACAGTGGCAGCATCACCAGAGAGCACTCCAGCTACTCACACGTGGCCAAGGAGGTATACTAGGACTACATCAGGATCACACAAGAGAAAAGTGAGGTCCAGACACAGATAGTACAGGTCAGCTGAGGCCTGAACAGTAAGCAAGCCCTGCTCTTGACTTCTGATGAATTAATGGCTTACATTGAAAAGCTGAATTCTTTGTGTAAGAAGTCCAAACAGCTATGACAACAAAACCTTCATGGGCTAAATACCTCTTTATAAATAAATAAAATGACCTTTATAAGTGACATTGTAGATAATCAAATAATTGTGTGGGACTTAGTATGGGACAGGCATGTGCTAAGCAAGGAACACTGCCATTGCTCTTACTCTTCCTAGCAAGCTCATGGACACACAATATACCGTTCTTCTGTATAGACAAGGAACAGGGGTACCTAGTGACCTCAATGCCATGGTCAAAGCCATGCAGGAGCATGTAGTAAAGACTATGCCTGGCCAACCGTAGAACCTGTACCTAGTGCTACCGCAAGCACCATAAACCATGCTGAACGTCACCCTGTACACAGATTACAATGTATTCATTAATTACTATTCTACCATAAACCATGCTGAACATAGTACACAGTCTTCAATGTAATCATTAGTTACTGTTCTATAATAATCAGGCTCTCATTACAGGCAGTCATTAGTTTCCATTCCCCAACCCTAAAATCATCCAAACTGGAAAACACATGAGAAGGAAAGTCTACAGGAACAAGTAACATACTGATAGCCAGAGCAGCATTTTCTTATTGGAAAAACAAACAATAATTACCCAGCCATAAGCAAATTATAAGCTCAATCTATATGACGACCAAGAGTCATTAAGCCCTCACTGCTTAAACTATCATCTTTGAAACAAAGATGGGAGCAGAATGACTTACTCTAGCGAACACTTGTTCAAGTGAGTTTCATTTTGTGCCTTCACATCAAGCCGAAACCCTGTTTAGATTTCAAAACACATTTGAAGCAAGCAAAGCCAGCAACACTAAAGAAAATGTGTAGCAAGAATCAAAGAGAATATCTTTGCAAACCTTACATTTAATGCTGTACCAATGCGTGACTGAAAACTATGCACGTAGGCTACAGGTAAATCTGTGCCACTGAAAGTCTCTGGCTCTCTGGATCCTGAGCAACAGACTTCTGTTTTCCATGAAGGGACAAACAAACCAAGTGTATCTTCAGTACACTGTGACTGTAACTTTCCAATTGTCTCCATTTACTTTGACTTATTCTGTGGTGCTGAGAATCAAACCCATTGTCTTGTGCATTCTAGGCCCTGCTCTGCCCTGGGCTGCAGTGCAACTTTTGGTTCTTGACTATTTATAGTAACAACCAACAGCGACACGATAACGCTATGGCTACCTTTGGCTTCGACTGACGTTCTCACTTCATTTTCTGGTTTCTGTGCAGAGTCTTCTTTGACGTCATTAGCACGGTGTTCCCTGAGAAAAATAGTTGTTTCAGTATTTTATGACAGAAGAATTTTAAAGCATTTCAGAACTGTATTGTAGCAACTGGTTTTTTTTTCCCCCTTAACTTAATGACAGATGGATGGTACCACTAAATGTTAAAGAATGAAATTCCACCATAAAGCAGCTAACGCCAGTGACAGCCATAAGTGTTCACTTTCTTCATAATCACTTGGTGGCTGCTATTCAGAAAGATTTTGAATGATGAGAATGCTATGAAGATGAATTACCCTGAAGGATATGGTTATTGAAAGTTCTGACAGCTTGGAATGGAGTAATAACATTTGTACTCTTTGGTATGACTCAAAGAACCAAAACTTTTCTAAAGTCTGCAGCATGCGACCAAATCACTCGATCTTCTCAGTCCTGAGGCCGGGGTGAAAGGTGAGACTCAGTCACTCACATGTACCCCATCTCTGGGAAGCTTTTCCTGCCTTGACCAGGTCAATTCCACTAAAGTGAATTCACCTGTTTTTTGAGCAGGAGCAGATAAATTCTGAAATAAACAGGCCTTGGACGCTCCAAAATGTAAACAACTTATTAAAACTCTAATTTAGAGCCCTGATCCTGAGGGTAAAAACAAAAACTGTTGTTTTTTATTTTAAATAAAGTAACACATTTTTAAAAATAGAAATTTATGGAACTTAAAATTTTTCAATTTACTGAAGGTCATACTAGAGCATATTCTTCAGTGTTTAGACTATTCTGACCCAGGCTGTACTGTGAAGGTTCAAGAACAATGAAAATACAACTAAATATACTAATCTAACACAAAAGGAATTCTCACTTTCCATCCCAAAGGCACGTACTCTCTAAATGAAACTCCTAGAAGCAGCATGCAATAAATGTTCACTGCATGCTAGAAACATTATTTTCAAGAGTACACATTAACTTTCATTCAGACCTGAGCTTCTGGCTTAGTTTTTGACTAAAACATCTTGTAACTGCTGAGATGAGCACCTGTTTGATTAGGAGGAACCAGCTTATCATGCAATACAAATACTTCCCCCAGGAGACCCAGAGTCCAAATGAGGACTTTGAGGAGCCCATGTCCCTCCAGAGCACCCTGAACTTATATAATCTAGTACAGAGCCAATTCAACAGTCAGAGGCTCTTACTCCACATGTGAGAACTAACTGAGGGCTGGTAAACGACATGACCCAAGGTGTTGACAGAAAAATCGTGTTTTCTAAATAGGAACAGGATAGCATCAGCCAACCCTGATTACACAGGCCGCTAATCCTAGCTACTCAGGAGGCCAAGACAGGAGATTTACATTATAGAGACCCAAACCCCTGAACAAAAATCAAAACAACACACAAAAACTCAAAGAAGGCTGTGAATACCACTTGGCCCTGGGGTGCTTGGCTGGCACATGCAAGCCCCATAATCCCCAGTATCACAAAAAATAAGGAAAAAAGAAATAAAACGCCCACAAAACAAAAGACCCAATGAAGCCATACTTTCTAATTACAGTATGTCAAAATCAACTGGCTACGCACTAAATTGACGCATAAATTTCTAGACTTGTTTGCACTAAGCCAGACATAACATTCTTTGTGTCCACAAACTCTTTATCCTAATATTGTGACTAATGAAAAAGAAGCAGCTTTTTGGTGGCTATATTAATATTATCAGAAAAAAAATCACACACTGTTGTGAAATAATTTAAAATTAGTGTTTCTCAGAGTCAAAGAAAATAAATCTCAACAAGTTCTTGTGCCTTTCTTAGGAAGTTAGATAGTGAACTGATGGTGTTTTTTTTTGAAAAGTGGAAAAAAAGAGAAGTGAAACAAAAAGTGAAAGTGAAGTCTTGAACTTTTCTGTTTGTGCACTTTCATGACCAGAAATAGTCACTCATAACCCAAGTGCACTTTTGTGGTTTTTTTAATACAGCGTAATTACTCTTCAAAGTAAACTGTGTTAAGATGTGTACGCCTTTAATCCCAGTACTCAGGAGACAGAGGCAGGTGAATCTGAGGCCAGCCTGGTCTACAGAGTAAGCTTCAGGACAGCCAGAAATAAACAGAGAAATCCTGTCTTGAGACATCCAAAAAAGACTTAAATATAAAAAAAAAAAACTCCTTTGTAGTCTATGTCCAAATACAATATCAACTGTTTATGTTTTGAAATGTAGAAGAGGAAAATAACATTTTGGAGCCAAAAATTCCTTTATACCCAAATATACCAAAATGTACCCAAAAGAAGAGCAAAATGTTATTTTGTTTGCCTTTTTGGAAATATAATCGGTTTTTCAATTCTCAAGTCAACTCATCTAAACCTCAAACTCAATACGTGACAGGCTCTTCCTTTAGTGCCGTTTCCTTTAGTGGTGTGGAAGATGGAAGGAGCCAACATCCAGTCTATTGGAACAGATCCTAGCAGCCCATTCAGATATGAGGAAGGGGTCAGTCAGCATTCTTATGAACATACTGCAAACCAAACGGGCTGAGTGGTTGGCAGGTTGGATATTCTATAGCTCTCCCTGATGCAAGGTCTGGTATTCCATACACCAAAACATCAAGTCCATGTTTACAGGGGTGAGTACACACCAGGTCTTCCTGACACCAAGGACCTACAATTAGAACCAATACGCTTTAATGTTTACATTGGGTTTCTTCAAAATAAAGAGCATGCCCCTGTTCCAGGAAGGCAAAGGGTGTACTCCATGTCCACACTTATTCTCAAACTGCCCTTCCTTGAAAAAGCTGAGAATGGAGAACCTGCCTACATGTTCTTAGTTAACGTACATTTTATTCAAAATTTAAAAAATGTTTTCATCATTGGGGAAACCATTATTCCTCTCCTCTGTGAGGTGGGAAATCTCTCTGTTCCAATTGCTGCTACTCTATAGGTCTCTTCCCGTTCACAGAGATGAAATCCTCCTTAGATTTTCAGCTTCCTTGGTCAAAAGCTCTTTCTGCACCCTCCTGTGGCAGAGTGGGCAGACGAGGGGAGGAGTGGAGCGAGACTTGTGGACTGGGCAAAGCAGGCAATGGCACGGAAAGAAGACCAAGGGCTATGCCTGCCCCCCAACCTCCTCGCTCACTCCCAGTGATAGTCCAGACACACAAACGTGATCAAATTACAACTTGAAAATTCTGGAATAATACAGGATTTTTTGTAGTCAAATACAAGATAAGATCTTGACAGATTAAAAAAAAACAGCCATTTTATACGGTACTTTAATATTCCAATGTCGCTCGGCACAGAAGCTTCTTGACTTGGCTGTCTTGATCATTACTCTCACCTGTGTCTGCAATCTCAAGGGCACCTAAGCTGTGCTCCCAAGTGTGACCTTGGTGGGAAGCAGACCTACCTCAATTTCAGCCCGACTACTAATGACTGACTAACTAGCTTTGCATAGACATTTGCAAGTTACTTGACTTCCCAAGTTCTCAGTTGCATCATTAGCAGGAGAGGGAGAACCAGTCCTAGTGTGACAATCCGAAGACTGAATATATAAATATGTTTATATTTAGAAAGGTCCTAGCGCAAGGCCAGGCACAGAAGTGGAAGTCTGACTCACGACAGCTTTCCCTGGCTACCGCTTCCTTCTATGTTGGGATAAATGACCTGTTTAGTGAGCTGTTTTCTTCAAGCATTACAGCAGACTTTGGAGTTTCTATAGCCAGACAGCTCGACAGTTAGGGTTCTAAGCTAGGTCTTGACCTGCTGTGGGCTAAAACCGAGACAGAGGACGAGGTGATTGTGGTGGCACACATTTTTAATTGGGAGGCAGAGGCAAGAGTATCTCTGTGAGTTCAAGTCCAGCCTGGCTGACATAGTGAGTTTCGGAGCAGCCACAGTTTACGAACAAACAATGTCTCCAGCACCAAGGGTGAAGAAGCCCAAAGAGTGCCTCGACTGCACAGTTCTTCTTGGGATTTTGGAATTTCCAAGCAACCATTTATTCTAACATTTCTTTAGCTTAAACTGAATACAGCCACAGCAAAAGCTTATTCAAGAAAAACTACTCGGTGGCTTTAATTAGGACAGTAGAAGCTGTTTAGCTGGGGAAGCAGAATTTCTTGTGAGTCAGCCATCTCTTTCTCTGTAATTATGCATCACATTGTAAACATCTTACTCTCTTACTTGAATTATGCCTGTGGTAAATATTGGGGAAACAAACACGGGAAGAGCGAGTGCCTAGGAAAACAGGTGACATCTGAAGGCTCACAGCTCATTTTCTCCAGAGTGTGGGCTTTCCCCTGACCAGCCATGCTGAAGCCAGCCCCAGTCTGCTGAGAGTGACATCAAGAAAAGATGCAACAATAAGTTATTTTCCCTCCCTACAGGGATGCGTTCATTTTAGCCACTTCGCTAAATCGAGCATGGGAAGAGGCAGGAGGTATGAAATGTAGGGGGAAACATGCCTATGGGGTAAGCCCTATAAAAATCGTGGGGGTCATTTTTGAATGCCAAAACATTACCTCTTTTTAGGACTCACTAGCTTTTTTAAAAAAAATTCATTTTTTTAAAAAAATGAAGTCATTAATAGATAAAATATCAAAGGTCAAGAATTGGGTTCTTAACCTGCCCCGAACACATCTTCTACAATGTAGAAGTTTGACAAGCCTCAGAACAAGGAGGGTATTCTTTCAAAGGGATTCAGAAAGGGTGACTGAAGCAGTGTCTTCTCATGCCTATGAGTCCACACTGAAACAAGGAATTTTTAAAGTTATGTTCCTTTGATCATAGCTTAGCAAGAGTTTTAATTAACCATGGTTCCATGAACAAGACTGAGAAGAGGTAAACATGACTTATTCTTTATCTAATGAGTAAAAGTGAAACATCTGGACTGATAATCCTATAAAATTATAATTTAACATATAGAACATATGTCAGCAAGGGAACATAATAGAAGGAATATAGCAAGTGTATCAAGCAGGCATTGCCAAGATACCAAAGAAAAAGTCTCCAGAAAAAAGTACCCAGCAATTAATTAGTCAATCCCCCCATGACATGGAAGT